AAATAAGTTCCCCAATTTCAAATCTCTATGTATGATTTTATTTTAATGAAGATATTTAAGTGCATTGACCAATTGTAATATATAGCATTACACTTCTAATTATGTTATTCTTCTTCTTCTCTTAATTAACTCATTTAGTGTCTTTGATGATATCATCATATTTATACTTAATTCGTACATAATTCTAATATGATATAAACATTATCATGATCTTCAAATACATGGATAAATTAAACAATGTTAGTTTAATGTAACGATTTATGTATTTTGATTTCCGATATCAACTATAATCTATATATCACTAATGTACTTTTTATCTTGCTCTGTTCCTAGTCAAAGTATTCTTTTAAATAATCTTGGCAGCCAATATTTTTTTTGTATCTATTTCAGTAATCTCATAACATCTAGCAAATCCACCCTTACCCAACGTTTTCCCTCTTTGATATCTTTTAATTATCACATCTCCATTAGATTTTGAGATTTTTTCTTCAATTATTACATTCTCAACTGTTGCTTATTCTTCCATTTATATATATATATATATATAATTATTTATATTATTACATTACGATATAGATTTATTAATTATCATTATTCATCGAATTAGTTTTCCTTATTATTTATATCACCTGAATTTAGAGCTTGAAAATCATTATTGAACATTTATTATTATTATTATTATTGAAAGTAATTAAAATTTAAGTGAAGTTACTATTAAGGCATAAAATTAAAATTGAAACAACAAATATTCTTCTCATCCAATTATTAAGGTAATTATTATTGGAATAACATACATTATTGAAAATACAACTGCTATTGTTCATTTAATTTTTCATCTTCTTTTTATTAATTATCAAATACAGGAACACAAGGAAAATAAGGAAACTAGAACATTTAATATTCCTATACATAAAAATTATAATTACCAATGGTTATTGCTGAAATAATTAATGCTATATTTGTAAAGATTATAAGAATGCATTCTCATCATTCTTATTCATTTTATCTTTATTTTAATTTTCCTTTTTTCGTCTACCTGCTCCTTTTTACCTCTTTTTTATTTGATGAACAAAAGGATTAAATTTCTAATGGTGAGATCTAAAAATATTTTGTTAATTATAAACCTGCATTGAGATGGACTTCTTGTACCAATAGTTTCACTCATCAGCTTAAATATTTTACTTGTTTTTTTTTGATCTTGCGATTCCATCACAGATCTATGCATATTCAAAAAATCAATGTAAGTTTAATGTTCTGATTCACTCCAATGTCCTGTTTATTAACTGGGATTTGTAATTACTCTTTTTTTATTCTTTCTCTTTTATAAACCATCTTAATCTCCCTATATAATTTCCTCTTGTTTTGGCCAAAATTCACCTTAACTCATTTACATTTTAATTTTTAATAATATATATATAATTAAGAATATTTTATTTCTTTGTTTCCTTCTCTTATTATAATGTAATATAATAACTATGTCATTAAATAAATGTACATCTCCTTTATTAATTATTATCTAATAAAAATTTATTAATTATTTATTATTAAAATGTAAACAACACCTCCATTCTCACATAATCATACAAATCCATTATTAATGAAAGATGACGTTGGCAAGTCAAAACCCTCCACTTATAATCTTCCTAATTAAGATTTTGTCTATGGATAGCCTTTAGCAAGAGATAAAGAAGGAGCAAAAGAAGGTAATTAAATATTCTTACTCAGTGACCATGACATGGAAATTCCATTAAGAATCTCAAGACAGAGTACCTAATAGAGATTTTGCTGAATTAAACAAATAATCCATTCATAATGGATCTGTCAAAGCACATGTAACTGTACAATCTATTTAGGATATGTATAAATTTAGATAGACTAATGATGCAAGATTGAAACTTAAAAAAGGTACTAATATACAAGCCATAGAATTACCAGAAGAAGAATTTAGATATGGTCGTAAAAATAGGTTTATTTCAATTTATTAAAGTTAGACCCTCAACACCTATGAAATTGGTTATGGGTAATTCTTATGGAATTGAGGCTGAATCATAAATTTTAGAAAAATATTAAGGTAGAGCAAGCTCATAAGTATTATATAAAACATATATAAAGGATTCTAAACTTTCTTCATCAATGGTAAAAGGTAATAAAGCTTCTTAATTGTTTTATGATACCAATCATAAAAAATTAGCAGCAATCTAAGGAGTTGAGAAAAAAGAACCTTTTAAAATGGAAAAATTTAAAACAGTAAATCCAAAAATCAATACAAATTTATCAACTAAAAAATGATTATTCATTAAAGTAATCATTATATTCGAACTTCTTATTTAATTAAAAATATTGTTATTCAAGATCTTTAGTTGTTATTATATAAAAATTAAGTACTATATTAATGATTCATCTTTTATTTAATTATGTTTTTGTTAATATCTAAAACTAGTTTTTATTCAAAAATGATTATACAAAAAACTATATGTTAAGTGGATACAATATCTTAAGATTTAAGATATATATTACTAGAAATAGTATTATTTAATAAATACAAAAATTTAAGACTTATTATAAATCTTTATATTTAATATTATTTTTTTTTGAATAAATTAAAATAAAATCAAGAAAACTTATTTAAATTCTATAAATCTGGATATTTTTTTTTAAATGAATTGATCAGATCTTTTAATTTCACCTAACATTAATTAAAATCGAATATATCTATCTCAGATATTTATGTAATTCTATTAATCTATAATAATTTTAAATGATAAATACAAATTAATCTAATATTTAATCTTAATTTTCATAATCTTTTTAAATTACAAAATCACGTATAGAATAAAAGAATGAAGTAGCAGCTAAAGTATTAGCATGAAAGAAATTAATAGAATAATCATGAAGACACATTTTTAAAATAAAGATACTGGCTTCTAATATGTTCTATAAATTAGGACTAGAATATTAATATTTATTATTACTCATCATTTAAACTGAAACATTGATAAAATAAATGATAAAGTCTATCTAGAATAGTAGGAAATGTAATCTCATAATTCAATGTTTCCAGTATGATTTTCTCCATATCTTTAACTTTTAGTCTAATTTTGATTACTAAATATTTACATTGAATATTTATTATGACCAACTCTTTAAACAAAATCTTCCAAAGGAATGTGATAGATATCTTCCAATTTTGTTGCTATAAACATGCTACTTATTCCTATTAGATGTAAATGTTAATCTGAATATTATATGTTGGATTTCAAAAGAAAATAATCCATAATAGATACAGATCTAAAGAAAGTAGAATTAGTAGTAGTATCAATATAATTTCCTAATACTTCAATCATCCAATCAACCATTCTACTTCTTAGATTCTAGGATATCTTTTAATTTTGCAAACTATTTCCTAGATGTACATTTTCATTTTTAAGTGAATATTGAAATTCCTAATAATAATGTTTATGATATTGCCATTGCCTTCTTAATTAAGAATTATTTGGATCATCTGTAATGGCCACTAAAAAATATTTAAATATGAATATACATTTCTATTAGACATCTTCTAAAGAGAAAGAAATCAACTTTAAATTAAAAATAGACTTTTATTAAAGTTCTTCAATTTCAATGATGAAATTCAATAATTTACCTTCTTCAGGATATTAGTATTATTAATCAAGTGATTAATGACTAGTATTAAGAGAGGAAAATTATTATGACTTATGGTCCTTCTTAATTTTCAAATTAGGAGATGGATCTCTTTAGTTTCTTGAAAACTATGCTTCTTAAATCATAAAAATAAGATGATGAAAAGTCATGAATTGATTTTATAGAGTATATTTTTTAAAGATTTTAGTCTGAATTCTCTTTTTTCAGTCTAAATTTATAAAAATAATAATATTAATTTATTTTAATATGTGAATCATTTGTAATTAAGTGCAATATATTTAATTGCAGCCTTCATCATGTCTGTTTGAAGTTTAGCATATTGATTTGTAACTGAGGTAGGAACATCTCCTCTTGGATCAAAACATTAGATAGTCACAATCTTGGTCATTTAATTTGGTTATGGAATTATAATCCATCCACTTAAATGCATTTCTGCCCTTTCAACTTTATTGATAGGAGGAGTTTTTAAATGAATAATTGATTTAGCTAATATTATTATAATATTAGGTACAGCAAACAATGTAAATTCCATCATTCTATTTATAAACCTTCTGAACCATAACTAGATCTCTGCTGTTCATAAATGGGATGGGAGGTTTAATTCTTACATAAATAATTCTTGTATTAGCATCAATTTATTCAATAACATGAGCCTAATAATATTAGATCAAAAATTTTACTGTTTCTACTCTTTCATCATATAAAGGCCTTTTATTTACATCAGCAACCAAATCTAAAATCTACTCTGGTGTTCTGGCAATTTCAGTTTGTGATCTATTCATATTGATTCCATTTTCTGGATTCTTCTTGGTATAAACAACATATCCTTCCTTATTTTAAAATAATTCCCACATGTTTTGTTCATTTATTTCTTACCATTTCATCATTTTGTTTTTAGCTTCTACTCAATTAGAAAAATAAGTTACCATCAATGATTGCTTCGTAATTTACTTACATATTTAATTTTTAATATATAATATATATATTTAAATAATTAAATTCATCATTATAAAATCAAAATCTTTGATTATTCCAAAAATACACAATAGAATTCTAATAAATTATTATAAGTCGATATTAAATAATTCATTAAATATTAGTAATTATGAATTTAGTTAAAAATCTACACCTATAAATTCAAATATGATTAGCATTAAAAATATAGATTCTAATAATTTAAGAATTCCTAATAATTAACTTTACAATTTTATTGTATATTTTGCTATCATACTCTTATAAATATATGTTTGAATATTCTACTATGTAATTTTTGCCTGTATTTTAGAACTAATTAAACAAACGATTTGACAGTATAATTAAATTATTAATACATTTAAATGTATACAGAAGAAATTAAAAGTACCAAAAGTATTAATTGAGTTTATTTTCTTAGTTGCTCTTTTTGGAAATACATTTGTAGGAAAGACTCATTTATTTACTAAGTAATTAAATAGAATATAATTTTAGATTTGATTGGGAAAGGTTGCCGAAAGTGATCCATTCAAATATACTTACTGTAGGATAAGAAAGATACAAATAAATTAGTTTGTAGTATTCTTATTTATTATAGCAATTAGTCATATTAAAAAAGGATAAGGGATTTATTTAGTTTATGGTTAATACAGGAAAGGAGACCTTTAATAATTTAAAAGTTTAGTTAAATGATGTAAGATAATGAACAGATCCTAATTTTTGTTATAAAGTTTATTGGTAATAAATTTGAAAAGGTGGCTAATGATGATAAACTAAGAGATGTCTCAATAGAATAAGCATTAAAATTTGCTGAAATTCATAAATTGATATATATGGAAGTTAGTGCATACTCAAAAGAAGATATTTAAAAAATTTTTGATAACTATTGTTTAAGATTTTATTTAATTAATATCTAGAATTCTTAAGGATAATTAATCTTGTTATAAATATATATTTAGTTTATTCTTGAATATAGTATGAATATTTTAATTTGATTGAATTCATTTTTATGACGATTATAATTTTTATAAAGCATAATAGAATTACAACATTTATATATTAAACTTTTTCCCTTTATTAAATATTCATAATTAACAATCAATGAAAAATTTCATTCCAAGAGATACTTTAATTAGACAAATGGAAGAGCTTATAAATAAATTATTAGAAAGATTAATAGATGAAAAATAGGAATCTTAAAAACAACTAATGTAATCAATATAAAAGAATGATGATAAGTCATTATTAAATTAGAATGATTATTTTGACTCATAATTATAACAATAGGAATAGGAAAATATAAAATCTACAATTGATTAGGGGACCGCTTTAATTGCTTAGTTAGAATTATTCAAATAACAATTTGAAAAGGCTAAATGCAGCTTACTTCTAGTACCACTTGAAAAGAAAGAGTGCTAACAATATTTATAAAAACAATCAGAACTTCAAAAAAGTAAAGTTTCAGCTTCGTATGTGAATAGTTTTATCAATTTTAATAATTCAGATATTGAAAGACAAAAAGCTGAAGATATTAAATAATAATTATATAAATTTGTTCAAAACTAATAATAAAATAATTAACTCATTTGTGAAACACATAAAAAAAGAATTGAATTTTTAAACTTATCAAATGATCCAAATATTTAATATAGAACATTATGTTCGAGTTGTTCTAAAGGTGGAATAAAATTGTCAGAATTCTTAGAATAATATTTAATAGATTTCTTTGAATTTAAAATAAATTCAGAAAAAAAAGGATCTATTATAAATAAATAAATATAAGATCTATCTAATTTACTTCTTTAAAAAAAAAACATCAATCAATTATACTCTGATTTAAATATATCATTATAATCAAGAATAGAAATTATTGATAGAATTGCTGGATCTTAAATAAATAATTTTAATTATTTGAATCATATGGCTCAAGATTATGTAAAGACTTAAGCTATTTTTCTTAAATGGAAGTAAGAATTTGATTAGAAATTATAAGCAAAACTAATTGAAGATTTTGAAGATGTATAAGTTCAAATATATAGTAGTATTCAAAATTGGGAAGATGAAAAACTTAAAATTTCATAATCAATTCAAAATCAATATTACAAATTATTAAATACAATATAATAAACTTAAATATGCTAAGTTTTAACCTTTAATAGAAATGATGAATTGATAGCAACAGCAAAAAATAATGTAATAGTTATATGGAGTTTTAATAAAGGTTAAATGAAATATATTACAGAGTTAAAGGGACATTAAAAAGAAATAAGTTGTCTATTATTTGATTAGAATACAGAAGTATTAATTTCTGCTGGTGGAGATGGTGATGGCCTTTTAAACCTTTGGAGATATCTTGGAAATAATTAATGGATGTTGTAAAATAAAATTGAAAATACTGTAGGCATTAAAGTAATAGTTTTTGATTCAAACAAAAAATAATTAATTGTTGGATGTTAAAAAGGCAAAATTAAAATATTTCAATTTTATCCAGAAATACCCTTCATTGAATTTCTATAAGAATTAGAATTGAATTCAAAATAAGCAGTTTTTGGACTTACCCTTAATAATTCTAAAACAAAAATGGTGTCATGCGGAGCGGATATGGTATTAAGAATGCATTTATTGGATTCACAATTTCAATCTATCAATTAAAGAGGTTGTGATTCTGCAGGAATAAGGGTATAATTTATTGATGAATAATCCTTTGTATTAGTTTAAAAGAATGGGTGGTTGATTTATTATTAAATTGAATGGTAAACAATTAAGGAAATATAAAAAATTTCATTATCTTCAGAAAATCGTGATTATATTTACTCCCCTATTTATTATAATTCAGTGAAAAGGCTCTTAATTGTTAAACATTACAGAACAATACATTTTTTACGAAGATTGAACAATGGAACTTTTGAAAAGATAACTTACTTAAATTATCAATCGAATATTCTATATGCCACCATATCAAATGATGGAAATTACTTAGTCACTTGGATTGATTAAGAAAAAGAGTAAGAAATAGAAGACTAAAGAATTCTACAATATCAAATATATGGGTTATAATTTTGATAATTTATATTTTTAACATTTATTAAAATATTATATATATTCATAATAAAAGATTTGATATTGTTAATTTAATAGATTCAATGTTCTTTTTTTTCTTCTTTGACTTGTTTTGAAAAATATATATAAATTATAGGGAATATAAGTAAATTTATAAATCAAATTCTAAAAAAAGTAATCTCAGAAATGCAACTCTGATCTGATTTTTATTGTAATAATATTTTTAAATATTGATATTAAATTAACTTTTCTTAATTTTTCAAATAAATTTTATTATTTTTTTTTTATTTAAATAGTTTTTTGTATCATAATTTATTTGATAGACTATTCTTTAAATTTAGCTTTAACATTTTGCTTTATCAAACATTTTTTTAGAATAAATTATATCATTGTTAATTGTTTCCTGTTTATAAAGAAAATTATATAGTAGTTTATCAATTTTAGAAGTACAAAATTATAAATTTACAATGGATTTACTGATTTATTTTATTAACTTATCATTTTATATAAATTTATTATTTAATGTCATATATATATAATTTAAATGAAATTTTGTATAATATGATTGAAAAAAATAAGAAGAACAGGTTAAATCATTGATTAAAATTTAAGATCAATAATATTACTTATATTGTGACCTTTATAGGTGATTAAAAATCTATAAAACAGAAAAAGCTAAGACTCAGAAATCCTCAGAAATTCATTATATAAAAAGAACATTTAAATTTTTTTTAAATATTAATTAAAATGATCACTAATACATTGTTTAAACCAAAACTAGAATCAAAATACTTTAATGTTAGCAACAAGGTAAGGCAAACATGCTGTTTTTGCCCACAAAGTTTAATTATCTGTTATGATTTAATAAGAAAAATTCCTATACCATTAAAAGGAGTTCAATATTTTTTAAAAGTTTAACCTGGTTTTGTAATAGTTGAATTAAAATAAACCTATTCGACTACAGGTTATAACTAACCAATAGAATTAGAATACTTATTTTCGATTAATAATAATGCAGCAGTGACTAAAATGATTGTTGAATTAGGAGATAAAAAAGTATATGGGATTGTTAAGGAAAAAGAGGAAGCTAAATAATAGTATGAAGATGGAATAAATTAGGGAAAAACAATGGCATATAGTGAATAAGATGAGGAATTTCCTGAAATTAAAAGAGTTAAAATTGGAGCCCTTGCTCCAGACAAATAATTAAATATCACTTTTGAATACATATAACCTTTGGATATTGTTTTGAATAAATTTTGGAAGGTAGAAATTTAACCAATGATTGATAACAACTATTTCAGCCTTAATCAACAAAACTAGAGAGTTTCTAATAATTATTTTGGAAGACTTAACAGATATCTTGAGAAATTTGTTTAAATTGATTAGTTTGAATACAACTTTAAGCAAGATATTACAGTATCAATAGATATGGGATCTCCAATCACATATTACAAATGTCCAACCCATAAAATTTTAAGTGGAAATGCTAAAAATGAATACACAAAGCAAGAAATTGGTGAGGAAAAATTAAAGAAATTACATCTTATGTTGGATGATACACCATCCAATTTTATTCCAACAAAATAATTTACACTTCTATTTTCAAGTGATGATATAAATCTCCCTCGTTCAATCTTAAGTCATACTAATAACGATGCTTTATAAAATTAAAAATATTGTGCTACATTGACTTTTATTCCAAAATTTAATTAAACAACTTTAGATGATGCATATTCACAATATTTGGAAGGATTAAATATTGCAGGAAATTAAGTAATTAATAGAGGAAATTACTTATTTTTTATTGATAGAAGTGGATCAATGTCTAATGTTAGAATCACAAGAGCAAAATAATCTTTAATTTTGTTCTTGAAAAGTCTACCAGAGGATTGCAGATTTAACATCATATCGTTTGGAACACAGTTTATATCTTTATGGTCTGATTCTAAGGAATATTCTCAAACTACATTGGAGGAAGCCATAAGCCATGTGAATAGTATGGAGGCTGATATGGGGGGTACTGAGATATTTAAACCATTATAAGATATCGTCTATAATAAATAATACGGCGAGTCAAAAACAACTACATTAAATATCTTCTTGCTTACAGATGGAGAAGTTGATTCTGATCCTATAATTGATTTGGTTAAAAGAAACAATTAAGCAGAAACTAGAGTTTATACTTTAGGGATTGGAGATGGATGTAGTCAATATTTAATTAAGCAGTTGGCTGAAGTTGGAAATGGCAAATATTAGTTTGTATCAGATGATGAAGATATAAATTCAAAAATTATTGATTTATTAGAAGATTCATTGACTCCTTATTTACAAGGATTTAATCTTCAATCTAATATTACTTGTATTAATTAAATAGTTCCTAATCCTGAATCTGTTGTTTGTTTGAAGAAGAATTAAGAATTAACAATTTAGGTTTTATTTTCAGTTGAACAAAAGAATGAAAATTTATAATTAACTTTAAGTTGCTTCGATCCATAAGAATAAAAACCAATTCAATATTCTGTTTCATTAAATTTAAAAAATTCTTAAGAAAATGAATATTTTCATAAGTTAGCGTCGCATAAATTTATTTAATATTACGAGAATGGTGTGAAATATGGAGATAACCATTTAAATTTTATCAAAATCAATAAGGATACAATAGATGATCAAGATATAATTAATACATCTATAACACATCAAATATTGAGTTCTAAAACAGCATTTGTATGTGAAGTCTGTGATTTAGAAGATCAATTCAAATAGTAGATGAAGTAAAAAGTTTATGTCCCTTAAATTTAAATTATAAGGCATGAAAAAATTTTTAAATATTATGGCTTATAGCCAGTTGGTTGTTGCCGACAAAAATAAGTGCCTAAAACTAAAAACAGAGAAAAAACTATTCAAAGAAAATCAAGTCGATTATAATAATAAAAGATCACAAAAGAAAAGATAAAGCAAAAATAGATATAGGAAGATATCGATTTTTAAGATGAAATGGAAAAACTTTAATAATTGTAGACTTAAATTAAAAAGATTGAGTATTAATAATTAGTTTCTTATTCACAATCTGATGGTAGCTTCTTATATGATGGATAAATAGAATAATATTTAAATATTGAAGGACGGAAGAATGAGCAAAGCTATCCATAGAATGTCTGGCTTACTTTACTTGCTTTGCTATATTTAGATTAATTTTGTTTGCAATATAGAAAATCATGGCGATTAGTGTACTAAAAGGGAATCTAATTCCTATAAAAGAACGGAGTTTCTTATAAGTAATTAAAGGAAACAGTACTAAATAAGCAAAATATTTGATTTTATATGTGTGTCTAAAATATCAATAATATTTATTAATTTATTTAATGAATTTAAGATTAATGCTCTAATGGCGTCTAGATTGATTAGTGCTTCTAGGCATATCATTTAATGCAATACCGATAATTACATTTGTATACTAATTTATTGAACATTGGTTTTACTAAGCCTATATTACTTGACACTTAAATATTGACAATCAGCACTTTTAGATAAAAGCCTGCAAAACTTAAAAAAGATAAAAGAAAGGAAAGAAGAAAGAAAATCAATCGGGTGAATAAAGCAAATAGAGTAAGAAGTAATTATTGATTATATTTTATTAAACACATATAAATATTATTTTATAATGAATGTAGAATGGTTATGTATAATTAAATCTATATATAAATTTATCAAATTTCAAGACACTTTTCAACACATATATACTATCCAAGAATTGTCTGAAATCTTTAATTTTAACAGCACAAGCTTAATGAAAAAGTTCACAGGATTATCTAAATATTTTTACAGAAATTCAATATCAATTTCACAACCCAGTGCTCTAATAATGTTTTCTTGATTTGATAAATGCATTTTATAACTATAGATTATTCTTAATAATTATAATTTATTACAAAAGTTGATAGAAACATATTACTTATAATATATCAAGAGATAAATTATTAAAATTAATAATTTATAATTTTATAAAGGATAAATGTTAACATAATCATATGAATTTATTTACTATATCAAAATTTAAATTTATATAACAAAAAGAGATATATAATTATTTATTTTTCATATGTAAATTCGAAAAAAAATAATTATTAATTTTCCTTTTACTTTAATAAACTAATAAATAATTTATCATAGATTAAATATATTTAAAAACAATTCACTATATATATATATAAGTTAGAATATTATAAAAAACTATATTGTATTTAATATTCAAATTATAAAGTAATAGTATAAAATATACAAAAAGAACAATATTGATCGGCCTTACACCATTTAGCTTATATACTATCGATATTACAACCTTCTTATCATGAAGACAAATTATGCAAATTCTGAATTCTGATTACTTATTTAAAGTTAGAAATGTTTTTTTGATTATGTAAGGTTAATTCATGATGTGAGCTGAAATAATACCAACTAATTTATAAAAACACTATATTGGTTTATTTTCTTAATTTGGGCTAAAGTGTAATAAAAATAAAGACAAAATAATTAATTTTTTCATAATTGATGATTATAAAATTATTACTAATTTAAACGATAAATTGAGTTATAAATAAATTAACTTTTTTGTCAAGAGATCTAAAGCGACGAATTAATTGATATTATCTTAAATTTCTGCCTTAATTTATTTGATTATTTTCTAAATATTAATGTTTTTTTTTTGATTCTTTGTTTTACTTGAGATAATTTAAAGAAAATTTTTATAAAGTTTTAAGTTATCTAATACTATCAAAACATTCTTTAATTATTTAGTGTAAAAATATCTAGAAGGCTAAACTGACCTAAAGGTTGCAAAATAGTTTGTTTTGGATGATTTTATTTTTGTGACAAATTCTACAAAACAGTATATACTTACAAATCAAATTTTTCACCTAAATCAACCAGAATTAATCTTAAAAGTCTTTTTCAGATCCCAAAAGCTTTAAATTTTGAAGTAATTTCGTCCATTTAATAATTGT